GCGCGCGCTGGAGCATGCTCGGCCCCTGCGTTGGGGCGCGTGCTGGAGCGTGCGCTGGGTGCACTGGGGCGCGCAAATACGCGCTGGGGCACGCCCTTTGGGCGATTTCTGGAAATTTTCTGGGCAGTTTCTGGGCATCTTCAAAAAGCTTCAAACTTGATCTTCAAGGCCTCCTTTTGATTCAAAATCAAAACCCTAATTCTACCCAAAACCTAGAATTACAATAATTCTAATCCCGAATTAAATTACAAATAATTTTATCAATGAATAAATATAACCGATCCATGGAACCATATAATTAATGACCAAATCCACCATCATACATTCATCAACATGAATTAAAATAAACATCCATAAATGCAAGTGCCTACCCATCACATACATACATAATTAAATATCACATATTTAATATATCACTTCTGATTATCAAATAATCGAAGCATAAATTAATATCGTCTATAGACCGCTCTGATACCAATTGTTGGTTGCCGAATCGAATTCGGCTGCGAAAGCGTGGGGAAAAAGCGGATCGTGTATAACAAAAATTTTTATAAAACTTTTGAGATACTCTATAGATTATATTAATTTATGAACAAATAAATTAATTGCATTATCTTATTATGCGAAATACACTCATTCAATATCTCGCCATATTAACAGTGCGGATAACACCATTCCATTCTAAATGGGAATGACATGTATTAATAATGTTTTAATTAAAGATTCCGAACTTTAATTAAATTCATCATGAACAATGTTTTTTATTATTATCCTTAAACATTATCCTCTCGTATATAACACGTATATACTATGTTTAAGGTTACATAAATAATCATGGAATTTTCATTTGATATTCATAAAATATTCATAAATATATGCACATAAAATGATGAATAAACTCTTTTATTAATTAAATAATAAATATCCTATTACATCTCATGCTTCTAGGACACTAATCCCAACACTGATACCAATCTGTCACGCCCCGAATCTGAGGTTAGTGACATGGATGCTCGATTAGGAGTCAAACATGATTAGAGAAGTGAAAATCAAAATTAAAAGTAAAGTATTAGGAAAATTCCTAAACAAGCCTCCCGTTTAGTTGGAAATATATTACAAGATAGAGGTGAGAACTTGAGCCTCTAACATCATTCAGGGCTTCACCCAGAGGACATACAGTATTATACATACATGAACATGTAAATAATATTACAGACATCACTCACAGTCTAGAAATCCAGAGTTCAGAGTTTATAAAATTTACAATTCTTACATTTGTACACAGGAAGGATGATCACAGTCCTCACTAAATCAGATAATAGCAGTTATCTCAGCTAATCAGCACTGCTCCTAGCATCGCTTGGGAGGGATTTAATAAATCAGACCGCCATAGCAAGAACCCAACCGAGGCACCAGAGAATGAGGCTGTCCATTGATGTTGCTCGTGAGTTTTTCGATCTCCAAGAGCTCCTCGGATTCGAGAGGGCTAGCAAGACCGTGGAGTGGCTGCTCAGAAAGGCGAGATCAGAGATTAAGAAACTTAAGGACTCAAACAATGAAGGTGGCTGCAGTAGTACTTGTCCGGAGATGCAAACGCCTTCTCCGAATTCCGAAAGCTGTGAAGGGGCTTCGGGTTTGGACGAGGTGGGGATCAATGGAGAAGATCAAGGAGTTGCCGGTACTAGTAGTTCCAAGCCTTTGGTAAAAGAGAGAAAGAAGTAGAGCAGATCAAACTCGAAAAGGATTGCAATAAATCCGCTCGCAAAGGAGCTGAGGGAAAAAGCGAGGGAAAGGGCAAGGGAGAGGACAAGAGAGAAAATGAGCAAAAGGGTCGAAAGATCATGATTATCACGGCCTCAAGATCAACCAACCTGCAAGCAACAAATCTGAGGAGAAACAACAAACTGGAGACCAATTACCAAACCAAAACATGATGGACATTGACATGAATAACAATATTGTTATTCCTAACTCCTCCCTTGGGGCTGTGATGCAAGTTTCTAGATATGATCAGCGTTATGAGTTTTCGCAGGAAATATTACCGATTTCGAATCCAAATGGCTGGAATATTTTCCAAGTATCTAATCATGATCATATTCGCCAAACAAGTACTACTAGTACTGGTACAACTGCACCAATTGTTGATTATGAGACATATTCTTATTTGGTGAATCATTTGGAGAAGTGGAACAATTCTTTGGTTGCTAATTCTGTGAGCAACGTTGGTACTACTTCTGGTGCTACTGGATTCCGAGTTCCCCAACAGGTAAGCTATATATTAACTCCACAACGCAAACTTTCCTGATATGATTTTTCTCTGGAAAAAAATATGCAAACAAAATAGAGTTTACATTATATGAACTATCAACATGATTAATTGATGAGTATATGTACTTTTGTACTTGACAGCATCAGTTTAATCTTTCCAACTTTCAAGTCTTTGGCAACGGATTGGAGGGCTTCAAAAACACCCAAAATCTATGCTGATTACTAGATTTATCTTGATATCATGTGGTTTAATTGGTATGTTAATTAACTCATGAAGAAACAAATTAACTATGATGTTCACTGATCATTTTAATTTCTGTCATGGACATGTAATATTGTAATGTAGGAACTGCTAATTATCTAGCTTTCTAGTACTATTGTTTAGTTGTCCAGTGACCTATGATTTAAATTATGGATTATGTACTCTTTCTACAAGATGAATGATATTGTGTGTGCTTAATTATTCTGGTTTTGAAGATACAAGAGATGTGAATGACATATTTTGTTAACTATGATTTGAGGTTTTAGAGGTACTGAATAATCCTAGCTATATATAATTATCTTGCAAGTTATTATATACATAAATTTTCTGATCATTTCCATGTAGTGGCTTTTCTATAGTATAGTAATCATATTCCCAAAAGATAAGAGGTGACAACTGAAAAATACATATACTATCTTGTTTCTTTGTACTTGAACTAATTGCATATTATTGAATGACCTTATTAGCTTATCTTTTTAGAAGGTGACTTATGAGTGGACACTATAACGTTCCACTATCCACTTTCAAGCCATGTTTCTGAACTTCACTGACACCTCTAATAATCATGCATATATACAAAATTCGAACTAAATATATAGTTCTACTAAACACAAGAAATATAAAAACGAATGTTATTTATTCGAGTAGTTTAAAGATTCTGATTTAAATAACAAAAGACATATTGCAAAATGTGAAATGAGGTTCAAAACAACCTCACGCTTTGATATCAAATTTAATATATAATTTAATAAAACAATAGGAAGAGTAAAGCTAATTAGAAATTCAGTTCAAGTTGCAGGACCACAAAAAATTCTCTCTTTCTAAATGCATGGGTGAACAATATGATCTAAAGTATTTTTTATATTTTCCTAGCCTTGAAAACCCAAAAAAAAAAAAAAAAAAAAAAAAAAAAAAAAAAAAAAAAACAGAGAGAGAGAGAGTAGTATATATATTGACTTACAATAATAAGCAAGCGTAAAGATTCCGTGTGTGTGTATATTTATAGATAGAGCGATTAAAAAACTTTGAAGCTTGACTCTAATCAGATGATATACAAGGAATGCTTTGATAATTAAAGAATAATTGCGCTTTAATATCTCTCTTTCTATGAGAGCAAAGTTTTATGTCAAGAGAATAATTTTATGTTGCTAGCTCTTTTGCAGAATTTCATGCAAGTAGCTATATATTCAAGCATCATGGGAGAATTCAGGGGGGGGGAAAAGGGTACCGGAGAAGAGTATATTTTTATGCATGCTTTCCTCATCTAAACAAATGAACAGAATTATGTACACAAGAAATATGCTGGGATTGGCTGTAGATGGAGGTTTCTAGAGTATATCTAGGTTTACAAAAGACTTGCCTAAATATATCAGCGGCTGTTTGATACAAGGATGAAGGGAAAAAAAAAAGTGTAATGGACATGTCTTTGTGGGGCAAAACTTGGGGATGAGTGATCATATTGAATATCAAGCACTCTTCATCTTCGAAGGCAGTCTTGTCATAATTAGTATTTTAATTTCTTAGGTCGTTGAGTTTTTTTTTTATTATTTTTATTTTTCTTTCCTGCTTTCTTCCATGGTATGTTAACGTGAGATGACATAATACTTCAGAAATTGTTGGGAAAAAAAACACATCGCTACACTCACGCGGCAGAAAACTAAACTAAAACAAAAATAACCACACAAAAAAATAGAGAAGATAAAAATTTAAGTGGTTTAGAAAAATTTCCTATGTCCACGGAAGAGAGAGAAAATTTTATTAACAGTTTCAGAATTACACACTCTACAAACTTTTTCATTTTCTCTTTCTATCTAAAACCCATTATACCTTGCCTATCTCTCTTCTCACTTTTTTTCTCTCTCAAAATGAGACACTTTATCTCTACATTTTTCTCTAAACACAAATAAAGCCTTACACAAAATACTTATTTATAAACTCCTAATAACCCTTGCCCGAAAAATAAATAATAGTAACTTACTAAAAAAAATCACAAAATATTAACTTTCCCAAACCAATTTGAGTCACATACCTAACAAAAATTTACATTTAAAATAAGTTTTATGATATTTTTCACAATGCAACATATATATAATAATCAATATTAGATAGAGGAAGATGTATGACGTGCCATTAAGTGGGACGTCAACATTGGAAGTAGAACATTTAGAAGTTTTGCGTAATTAATTTTGATGAAAGGATATGGTGATTAACATTTGAAAACTTATCATGTGTTAATTATTATATGTTGCAACTTATATAGGTCAGGTCTAAGAATAACATTAAATATCTCTTTCTGATTGATCAGTATAGGGAACACTAGCAGCAGTGCCACAGGTCCATTAAGAACATCAAAACATAAGGTGGAATATTATATAACACAGGTCCATGATGATCACTATATAACACTTGTATAACCAACAAATTATATAGGGTAATTAGTTACATAAAAATATCGTTTAGTTATAACTTTTTTGCAATTTATTTGTCTCTTTTAGAAACTATCACTACACCACAAAAGGCCTTTCGTAGCTGACGAAAAACGCTATTAATCACTATCAATAACGCTTTTTAGAGCGCTAGGACAGTGGGCGCTATTATAAGTCCTAAGAAAACATAGCATTTCAGGAGAGTTATAAAAAGCGCTATAGAATTAAAGTATTATAGCTTGTAAGAAAAGTTATTTTCATCCTCTTACAGCTCTTTAGCATAACTACGATACAGATTAATAACTCTTTCCTTATTATGTTCATACTGTTGTAACTTTTTAAAATTATTATTGATATCCTTTTGAATTCATTCAAATAAATAGTAATTCTGAGATATGTGATATATCTAAATAGGAACATTCAAATTAAAACATAAAAACATTCAACATATCAATTGTTATCA